TATTTTTATCGTATTCCCTTCTTTCGATAAAATATTCTTCTCTCTCTCTCTCTCTTTTTCTTTTCTTTTTTTTTTTTTGAGATAAAACAAGAAGTGTTAATATCTTTTCTACTTGTTCATCTATTTCATCTCTACTTTTTGTTTTTTTTTCTCTCTCTCTCTCTCTTTAGAATTATTATTACTGTTAAATCGTTCTATGAAATGTATCGTCTAGAATTTATCTATCATATTTTATTGTATTCAATGGAAAAATCATTTTTTAATTCTGATAATTGACTTATCACATTACGTATTTTAATTAATATTCATTTAATACATTTTTCACATTGGTATTATTAATTTTTACTTGACTGAGAATGTTTCGCATTCTTTTAATTATTTATTTATATAAGATAAATATTGTTTTTTTACATTGTTATCAATTTTTAGATTTTTTTTTTTTTTAACTCAAAAGAATCTATTCTCTATACTTAATGAATATTATTAAATACATCTTTAATAAAAGTATGATATATAAGAAACATATTTCTTTTGTTTTTATAAATGAGTATCATTATTTTAATTATCAATCCAGTATCTTTAATCTATCTATCCTAGAAATTATCTATATTAAAATAATTACTTAATACATTTCTCATAAGTATATATTATATTAGAAAAATAAATGTATCTTATATACAACATTGCCACTATTCTAATTATAATTAATTATCCTTTATTCTATTCCAGAAATCATTTATATTTATTTATTTATCTAATACATTTTCATTAGATATATATAATTTATATACCTAATATTTTTTTTTTATTTTTATAAATATGTCACCACCAATCACCACCATCAACCACAACGATAATTAACATTCCATTATATTTAATCCTAGAAATCATAAATATTAAATTACTTATTAATTAAATTTTTTCTATAAATTATAATTAATTCTTTTTATAAATTATATATATATTTTTATATATATATTTATAATTTATATATAATTTATACCATTACCATCATAACCATTACGATAATTATCATTCCATTATATTTAATCCTATCTTTAGAAATCATTAATATTAAATTAATTATTAATTAAATTCTTTCAATATATAAAACAAATACAACAATTTATTATTATCTTTTTCTGTAAATATATTATCACAATTTTTTATTGCAAAACATATATGTAAATAAACTCATCCATCAATCTTTCTCTCTCTATCTCTCTCACTAGCAATAACGAGTGTTTCAAACGTAATAGGAGGACTTCTACGAATATACAAATTCATCAATTTGCATGTGTGTGCACTAATACAAGAGTTAACAAGGGAGAGAAGAGATTAGAAGGGGGAAAAGAGACCAAAGGAGGTGGATATTTGCAATTCTAATCCTATCTTCGACCTCATCCTCCTCGTCGTTGTTTCTCTATCACCTTCTCTCTCTCTTTCTAACTCTAAATCTAACTCTAACTCTAACTCTAACTCTCGTTTCCGAGAAACTAAGCTGACGGATTCTCGCGTTACTTCAACATCCGCGGAATGTCCGATGAAGGACAAAAAATCACAAAATTATCACGAGTTTTTCAATATATATACATATATACATATGTGTGTGTGTGTGTGTGTGAGTGTTGTATGTGGTTGCTTTTAACAAAATTTCTTACCCATTTATTTATTTTTTTTTAAATATTTCAATTCGATATTTTACATTTTATATTTTTCTATTATTATTGATATTAATAAAAGTATTATTTTTTGAATGATTATTTAATAGAAATAAAATTAAAATTATCTAATCATATTAAATAGTATATGTGTACCTTACAAATTGTATTTATTCTAATTTTCATATATTAATTACAATTAAGGAATTAATTAATGAAATTTAAATTTTCTACCACATTCTGGTTTTAGAATAATATTAAGTTCATACATAAGTAGTATGTTGAAATAAGGAATTTATAGATATTATTTACTATAACGATATATTGAAATTATTTTTGATAATTATTAGAATATATGTGTATATTTTTAAGCTGCAAAATGTTAATAATAAAACAATTATATATCAAAATTAAATATCTATGAATATAATTTATATATATATGTAATATTTATGTGTGTTTGTGTATATTTAATATATATTATACGTTATCGAATTGAAATAAGAAAAATAGTTTCATAAAATTTCGAAGCTTTCCTTTGTTTCTTTTAACATAGGCAAGCTTTGTTGTTCAAGGGAAGAAAAATGGACAACTTTTTGGCGAACGCGATTGCCATAAACTTGTGTGCGTTGCAATAGTAACACCGTTGGAATCTCTACCATACATACATACATACATACATGCATATATACATATACATTACACTTTGAAAATAGGACGAGAGAGTTTTCGACGTTCGGAGATCGATTTGATTTTTGTTCGAGGAGTAAAGGAAAACTTTTCCATGTGATTCTTCACCGTCTCGACGAACCAATCCATGGGGGTGGGTGCAGGGAAAACTGGAGGGTTATTTTTTTTTTTTTCCTTTTGACCAAGAGTAATATCGAAAATTCCGATAGAGATCGATCAATTTGAAATAATACTATATCGAAATAAATATATTTATATATAGTTTTTCTTTTTTTTTTTCATGAAATTAAATTTACGAAATTAAACTAAAAATATAATAAAATCAAAAAGAAATATTTAACGATATAAAATCTCAAATCATCTTAATTTAAATACTATGATAATTGTTATTAATTATAAATTGACACATATAATATTTTATTTATTAAATAATAATAAATACGCCAATAAAATTTCATCATTACTTTCTGAGAGAGAGAGAAAAAGAACAAAACAAAAATTTCTTAAATACACGTAAGAAAAATAATATTATATAATTAATTACACGGATCAATAATACATTTTATTTTTTTGTTTACATTAAAACAAAAATGTTTGGTCGCGTGAATGATTGGAAAAATAAAAAGATATGAAACGAATCTGGTGTATAATTTTATGAGAAAAAAAAAAGAAAAGAAGTTAGAAAATAATCGATTAGTTAGAAAATTATTAAGGGAAAATACTTGATAGCAATGAAATTTTCAATCAACGCTTTCGAAACGTTTACTATGCAACGTAATTAATTCCCAACACTGACCGTAATACCGGTGCAATCGAGCCGCGAACATGCATTCGCGTTCCTACGTGCCAACAAGATGAATTGCGTTAACGGATTAGAAACAACAACGAACAACAACGATTCTCGAACGGTTTATAAACGATCCTCCTTCTCCTCCTCCTCCTTCTCCTTTTTTTCTACTCGAAATTTTCGATTATCGATTAAATAAAATAACTTAGACTCGTACGAATCATCGGGAATAAAAGAATAGGAAAGATAAAATAAAATAAAAGAAATAAAAAAGTTGCAAAATTAATAATTATCAAAATTATAAGCTTAAAACTATCACTTATTTTGTATTATCTTAATTTTAATTTGGAATATTTTGTTTTCACGCGTATAAAAAACAAAATCATAGATAATTATACTATTGGATTAAAAAATTAATTAACAAACACGCGTGAATAATTGTTATTGAGAAATTAACGAACGTTGGTCTTGGGTTCTTTTTCTTTTATCTGTTTTCTTTTTTTCTTTTAAATTCCATTGGTAGAATTACGATAGATAAATCGGTTATTATTCTTTGCTATCGATAAATCGTACCTTGTGATATGATACTATTATTCTGTATCGGAATAAAACACCTCGTGATCGTATTCACGAGATTCGAATTCACGTTTTAATCATGTGAGTCCACTTGACTCTGTCAACACTCGTGATAGTAAATAAGAAAGAATGTTCGATGCAATAAATGTGAAATACTTCATGGATCAATTGCTTTTTCTTTTTTTTCATTCTTATTTTTATTTTAAATATAAATAATATTCCACGTATTTTCAATTATATATACATTTTTAAATTTGTAAATTAGATTTAAAATATTTACAAAAAATCCTCACGAGATATATAAAATGATTACAAATATTAAAAACGAACGCATAAAACTTAAATCAAATGAAAAGAAAAAAAAAAAAAAACAAAACAAGAATAATTCAATATTTAACAAACAACTAATACCTAATACCTCACATCAATTTTCAATATAACAAATCATCAAAATTCAATCTCGCTAAAACAAACGAATATCCTTTGATAAAACAACAACAACAACAACAACCAATTAAAAACTCAATTTTTCCAAATACCAACATACTCCTCCCAAACTTTGACACACCTTCAAAAACGCATAACTATCGATCGATTGGTCAGATTAGCTATTTTTAAAAAAGCAACAACAAAAAAAAAGAAGAAGAATAGAATGAAGTTTTGTTAAAGCTTATAACCATGACGAGTTTAGAAACACACACTCTAGTGGACCCATCGAATGGGTTAGCTGTCAGTCAATGAAGCGTCCAGCTGTGCCCATCCTGTGCTAGGTTGAACAACGTGGTGGTATAGTAAGAATGATTAGCGCACTGTTCATGACAACGCATACCATACCGGTATATACGTTAAGTACTTTTTACGTAGCCCCACCATATTCCTATATCGTAGAGATTACGTATATACGAGGAGGAGCTGGCGTACAAGCACTCACGGTAAGTAAGTAAGTACTTACGTGTATATATATATGTATATATATAACATATATATGAACACACCACGGGCAGTGTCCGCGACGGACATTACGCGACGTTTAGTCGATAGTTAACCGCGTTGGAACGATCATTCCTTTCGAATCATTATAAAGAATAACAAATTTTTCTATCAAAATACGCGCGCACGGGGGGGGGATTGATTAATTTCTCTGATTTATTTGGAATTTTTTATTACAATCGTACGTCAAAAAATTACATTCCTATACAAACAAAATTTTGTTTTGCAATCGTGAACGTAGTTGTTTTTTTTTTTTTTTTACATACGTACGTACGTATGCATGTATGTAAGGGAAGGGAAAGGGGAAAGAAAGTGAGAAGAGAATACATAAACATAAAAAAAAATAAGAATAAAATGAAAAAATAAAATCGCGCTAAATAGGTGAACAAAGAGTGTTAGAGATATCCCACAAGTTTCGGTTGTGTTCCCCACCCTAAGTGTGTTTGGTAAAATAATAAATAAGAGTGTGTGTAAGAGAGTATCCTCTTCAAAGGTGTTAGACAAACCGATGGCAAAACCGGGCCAAGGTGTGAAACACGCGAATCGTAGTAGGAACGCTGCGTATCTTTGGAAAACATTATTATTACACCGATCGTGGTCGAGAGCGTGACACCACCACCACAACCACCATCATCAACCAACCAACCTTTTGTGTGTTTCTTTTATCTTTTTTTCCTTGATCAAGTTTTGTTCTTAATTTTTTTTTTTTGTTAATTATTGTTATCATCGTCATAAACATTTACGTGAATAATTTATTTCGAGTGATCAACGTTGTTAAAAGTGACACGCGTTTGAAATCAAGAAAATAAGGGGAGAGAAAGAAAAAAAAACATTGAGAACGTTAGAAGTTAGGGAAAGGGTGAATAAAAATAATAAAAAAAAAAATAAAAAAACAAGAAAACTATGGAAATGGAAAGTAGAACAGTAACGAGACCACCGTGCGAGGAAATATCGAAAAGACGTGTTTCGATATCCGATCAAATATTTGGTGTAGACAATCCTGCATTCGAACATCATCGTCGTATAAGCTCCAGTTCCGAGCACAATTCAGATCAAGGTAGAAGGAAGTCGATACTTCATCATACCGGGAGTCATTACGACAGCGTTGAAAATCTACCGCAGCACAACAAATTAGATTTAGCTGAGAATGGTAGGGTTAACGATAACAGAAAAAAATCAGCGTTTAGTATGACCAGTTCGATAAGGGATAAGATCGAGTACTCCGAAGAATTAGAGAGGTGAGATGTGTGATAATAATTAATCATATGATCCAAACAAATTCTAATCGAAAAAATGTTATTACTATTATTATTTCTTTTTTTTTTTTTTTATCTAACGAGATTATAATGGATTAAACGAATAATTAATCCGAGAGAATATCTAATAGTACGTGTGGTTTTTGAAATGAATAATATCGAAATAAATTTGACAAAAAAAAAAAACAATCTATTATGCAATTTTTAACACAATTTATAACACAACAAACATACAAACTTCGTTATAGAAAGAAATATCTTTTATAGTTCATCTAACGAAGTATTGTAGATTATTTATTAATTAACAATTCAAATAAGAATCTATAAAATTGATTTCTAACAGATTTACAATTAATGAGAATTCTTCTATATTTATTTCTATTCAAATCATTGTGTTCTGTATTTAATTATAATATATCATGAATATTTTTGTTTTTAATAAATATTCATCTAATCTAACTTCAATCCATATACTAAATCTATACAATTTGTTTCTATATAACAGGTCGTGGTTGTACCTTTTTTGTGCCCGTTGTCATGGACGCGACGATACACCCTCGTGGGAACCACCAGGATGGAAAAAAGCTTGCCCACAACCATTCTGTCCGAGTTATCGCAAATTTGCAAGAATACTCTGTCTCTTCCTACTGGGTCTTTTGATTTGGGGTGTAGTTTACTCGATAGCAGGAGATGATGCAGCACCAGGTGGCCCTTTGTTCGGTCTTGCCGCTTTATGCATAGCCGCACATTTTGGTGGTTGGTTATTTTCCTTGACGACTCTTCCAGCTTTGATCGGTATGCTGATTACTGGATTGGTACTACAGAATGCTGACCTTATCAGTATCGATGGCCGTTACTCTATCGTTGTTTCTAACTTACGGTAAGTTTATTTTTATACTTTTTCTTACTTTCTTTTTTCCCCCTCAAATTTTTCCTCATTTATTTCATCAGAATTTTATTAACTATTTTAGTAATTAAATTATCGATCTTTCGATCATTTCGTGCATCAAAATCGAATTTCATAATATCGCATTATCATTTCTTACACAATTTTTATTTCTTTATTTGTTTATAACACTCACTGAATTTTCCTACAAAAATCCTGTCTCGTAATTTATACAAAATTTACGTTATACGAGTTACCAATCAAATTGGAAAGCTTCTTCTTCTTCTTCTTCTTCTTCTTCTTATCGAATTATTCGAACTGTTTGATTGCGACGTTAAAAAAAAAAAGAAAAGAAACGGGTCGGATCCGAATTGTAATTTCAACTCACGCGCTTAAACGTTGCCGAGGCCTTGTCATGAGGCAAGCCCCACAATCCTATGGTGCCCCCCTTTTTTCTTTTCACTTGGATGTCCAACTACGACGTTGATTCTTCTTGGTGGCTCACCAAGAATATCAATTGTTATTTTTTCCTAGTCAATCGGAATATATATATCTGTATTAAACTTATTTTATATGTGTGCATTGTCGGTCGCGACGTTACGTTTACGATCGGTAAATGATGCTCTACTTTTTTTCTTTCCATTTCATTTAATTTAATTTAATTTAATTACAAGTCTCGCACAATTGGAAAAATATTTCGTAATATTTCTAACGAAAAAAAAATAAATAAATCTTCATTATTTAAATATTTAAAATACCGCGCACCTCTTTATTTATTATTATCCTCTTTATTATTCTCAAAGTCCATAAATTAATATTATATAATTAATTATATATATATATAGTCGCGTAGGATTTTTATATTTATGATAATTATATTTTTACTTCAAGGTCTATTCGCGAGTAAGAATTCTGTATTGTTCAAATGAAATAGTATATAATTTTAAGTGATTTTTATTTATATATATATATATATATTCTTTATATCGAGTATCTAATTAATAGACGTAATCCTTCCTAGAAATGAATAAAATACGTGTGATATATAATTTTTATTATACTCGAAGAAACAGTAAATTGCAGTGAGCAACCAATTAACTGCATTCCTTTCAATGTCCAATTTTTTTATCTCTGCACAATAGTTGAAATCCTTATACTGCATACATGCTACGATGCATGTATCAATTTCACTTTGTTTCTACATTATCGATACTTTATAGTTTGCTGTTTGATATAACAAAGTTGAAATATATGTTGTTTTCGTGTATTCATGCTAGTTGAATTCGATGCTGAATTATGTGCAATGTGTATCATGAAATTTAGAAATCGATGCATGCATTCAAACATTTTTTAACGTAACACGTAATAATTCTTGTTTATTAGAAAATATTTAGAGCACTGTGTTTTGTTTCAGTATGATTTGTGAATTGAAAGAGAAATTTTCCGAAAAACGGGAAATGAGATTAACATTTGAACATAGATGTTTATTTAATATTGCATTTGAGAACGTGACTTGTGTGGTCTTGTTATTTTTGTTTACGGAATTTGAGAATATTCGTAGTTTTCATCTTCAAACATATATACTTTTTATTAATGAAAATAATTACGATATAGTATTGTTCTGTTAATGTTTGAAAGCTCATCATCCTGTTTTTAGTTTAGTGCTAATAGGAATTAACATAAGACAGGATTTTTCGTAGAGAGATTATTTAAAAAAAATTGTCACAAAATTATAAAATAATATAATATTATTACATATTTTTTCTCAAACCCCTAAATTCTATTTTATTCCGTACTAACTCTTAAGCTCGTTTTATCACAAAATTGCATCCGACAGTAATATTTTTTTGTCGTTACACCTCTCTTAATTAAAACAGTAATAAAATATCATTTTTATAAAAATGTTAGAAAACTACAAAAAGAAAAAAAAAAAAAAAAAAAAAAAGATTCTCTGCTTATATTTATACTAATAATTTTATTTCAACCTAACGCGTATTCGCATAAGAAAACATTATTTTCAGTACACTTCCTAATTATAACAATGTAATTAAATAATACAATTTTCTTCAATTTTTTGGAAAACCTAAACTGAATTTTGTTGATCCCTTAACATAATTTTCTCACAAATTAGCGTGAAACAGAATATCATATTACAATAATACAATTAATCCAAATAATAAAACAATAGAATATCATGAAATTATTTTAATTTAAATTCCCTTTTCTATTTCTATTCATTATACCAACACTTGATCTAACTTTACCCCAAAATTCCTCTCTAACATAAGACAGAATATTATAGTAACATCTAACTAGGCGTGTAATATACATAAGCTTACCTATACATTAATAGAAATTTATCGGAATAGAGAAAGAGAGACTCGATAATATAGTCCTCGTCCTCATCCTCGTCGTAGTCATAGTCATAGTATCGTGTGTTTAGGAAACGACGAGATTATTTCGCTAGGTTCGCGAGGTCCCTCAAAATGTGAACGTGTATTAGCCTTCGCGTAATAGCACCGCGTCGTAATGCGCAAGCATTAAAGCTAGTCTAATAACGCACGATGATACTAGAAGAGAGTAGGCATCAGCCAACAGCTAGCTTGATACTACCGACAGACACATACACACACACTGAAAAACGTACTAACACAATCAGAGACACACAGCAGACACATACAAACCTACAGATACACAGTCAGAAACACAGCAGACACATACAAACCTACAGATACACAGTCAGAAAGACACAGCAGACTCATATAAATATACAGATACACAGACACAATCAGAGAGACACAGCAGACACATACAAACCTACAGATACACAGTCAGAGAGACACAGCAGACACATAAAGATGCACAGACAGTAAGAGACAGAACAGATATACAGTGACACACAGCAGATACATAGAAACATATAAAACACATATGCACAAAGTTATACAAATACAATCAGAAACATTCATACACATAGAACGGAGACACTATACCACAGATAGAAACATAGGCACACATAGATAAAGACACAGATACATATTCAGAAGCCACCTCCTCTTTCTCTCTCTTTCTCTCTAACATTGTACACTCGACTGGTTAGAACCTTATACTCGAGTGCACGGCTACATCAAACTGCATAATTACGATGGAACTCGGGTTGCCGTTCAAAACGGCTTGCGTTCTGACCGCACCGCAGCATTTCGCATTACGTTAATACGCTTCTCTGTCCTATTCTTCTCTTTCTCTCTCTCTCTCTCTCTCTTTCTGTTTTATACGAGATTAGATAACGAGTACGATCCCTGCTTCTGTAATCTCTTTCGATGAGAATAGAGATTCATCGAACAACGTTTAGCTATGCTAAGTAAGATGAAGATTATGTGATTGTCTTTCGACACATAATAAGAGAATAGTTAATGACATCTCTGTGTTAGGTGTAGTATTGGGTTCAAGTGTAACGTGAAATGTAATATAATACGCGAATCAATAATTAAAGAATAATTGTCTACGTTGAAATTTGTGTTTTTAGTTTATCTTATAAGTTGAGATTGATTTTTACAAGATTATTTTTCATTTATACTAGAATCATTTTATTTAGTTGGATATCTGAGTTATATTTGTTAATTTTAAGTTGACTATTGAAGATTTGAAATAGGTTTTATAGGTGAGAATTAAAAGAAGAAAGTCTTGTAATGTGTAAGGGTTGTTAAGATTTAACAGTATTGTAATATGTTCGGTGTACAATGATGATTAAAATAATAATTATATGATATAATTAATATGAAAATGATGACACGGTGAGATAGTAATCTGTGTGCATGTGTATGATAATCATAATATTGATAATAGATACGATAGTGTTCATAGTAATGATAGTAGTATCAGAAGGATGAAGGGAAGGAGGAAAGGGTGAAGATGATATGGAATGGAACGTAACAATCGGATAAGACGATGATAAGCAAATTCTGATATCTATGACACGACTTGCATTCGATTTCGATGAATTAACATCATATATATATATATATATATATATATGTATATGTATACAGAAAGAAACGAAGATATCATGCGAATAAAAACGAATGAAAGGATTGAATGAAAATAACAACGAAGTCGTGAAAAAGAGAGAGAGAGAGAAAAAAAAGGAAAGTATTCGCATTGAAAAAAAAAAATGTAACAATGTTTCGTCACATAGTAACACGGTCAAATTCGAATTGGAAACAACGAATACCACCACCATCACCACCATCACCACCATCACCATCACCTTCCTATATATGAAATATAAACTTGGATCGCGAGTGCATCTCGATTTTTATGATGCATATACAAAATTTATACGTTCGCGCTAGTGTCTTGTGTTTTATAAAAGCACTACCGATAAAAACAAAAAGCACAAAAAATCATGATAGAAAAAAAAAAAAAAGGGAAAAGACAAACGGGAATAAAGTTTATTTCTCGACTATGCGCGTACAATGCCAGGGAACACAACAGTTTCGCGCCTGTGTGTGTATGTGTGTGTGTTTTCTTTTTTCCTTTTGTGGAGGTGGGAGAGGAAAGAGGTGTTGTTACGTTGGATGAAGGGGGAGGGTGGGGATTTTTGATATATTTTCTAGACCAACGCATTAATACCGAAAAAATTATTTTTCTTTCTCGAAATAACAATTCCAAAATACATTTTTTCATACGAAATATGACAGAAAGAGAGAGAAGTATTTTTTTTTTTATATATATATTATTTGATTTGATTAAATTCGTTTAAAAATTTTGACTTTCCAAATCATCGACGTAGAACGAATGCGAAAATATCTACTCTAGATACGTTTTAAAATAAAATTGGTATAAAAAAAGAAAAGGGGGA